ATTTCACGGTTGTACCATCTTCATAAAGACATAAACAATAACTACCATAAATACCATAACAGATAAATACATAAATAATGATATAAATAATAAAATAAATACGTATAATAACTTTTATCATGTGTGTTATGGATTTGTTTATCTACGTACTGTACGTACAGTACGTACATAAGATATATTTATTCACTATGAATGTATGAAAATGTAAATATGTAAATATGTAAATATATATGAAAATGTATGAATGGTTACATATTCAACGTTTCCCGGTAAAAAAAAAAAAAAAAAAAACTAGATTTAGAAGGTAACATTCGGTAAGCTTCGATTTGATTGAGTTTAAAAAAAAAATCATACGTAGTAATAGTTTAAACTTAAATAAAGTCATAACGATAAAAGAAAAAAAGATGCAATTAACGTTAAGTACGAAAGTACAGTACAAAAGTAATTTAAAAACTTAAAATATTATTATTTGTAAGTCAAATATTCACACGTGAAAAAAAATATTATCTGCTATACTACTAATACACAATAATACAATATATATAATTAATTACATTGGTTCTCTATCTAAATTGAATTGTTACATAATTGAATTTTGTTAATATGGATCTCCATTCCCACTGTTGTAATTTAAAGAATTATGATAACGATTTCCCGAAATCGTATTAAATTCTTTGTGGTTAAGAAAATTAATTCAACATCTTTGAATAATTATTAATAGACCCTTAAAATAAATAGTGAAATAAATTTACAAAAGATTAAAGAATACAAAAAAAAAAAAGAAATGAAATGTATTTGTCATTAATGAATATGTACTATAGATGAGTATGTAACTTAAGTGAAATGTAACTATAGGTTTTTAGTTTTCACAATTAATATCAATAAAATTTCAATAATACATTAATCAGTGGTTGTTATGATTATATCAGATGTCGACGTAGAACCAATCTTTTGAGCAACAAATCGCCAGGTCTTGAAGGAAGTTCTGTTTTGTTCGACTTCTTTGGAAAACGTTGCAACCAATTCATCGTATTCTTGAGATTTCAGTTTCATTGCTTTAGATAATGGTGCTTTAATAGCAGTCCACCCGTTGGCGATATCTTCTACAGCCTATAAAATACGTACATACATATATATTTCAATATTTCGATACCAAAAAGACCTGTGGTCACATGGTCACATGATCGATATGAATGCTTACCATTTTACCGAGGTCACCAGCCCACTTTCCGAGGAAACACGTCTTTTCTTCTGTTTGGATACCTTTTTGTATTTTTTCGTTATCTTCCATGATTTTTGGAATATATGAATTTAGTGGATCCGATATTCCTTTGGAGTTCATGAATGAGGTGACTGCGCCACAAAATTAATTACAAACAATTTAGTAAATTGCATAATCGGGCCGAATAACAATAATAATAAATAATAATAGTAATAATAATAATACGTAGTCATAACAATTACTTACGTGCATTTGATAATCGCACAGTTGTAGGACCTTCATTAAAATATTGTATATCACTTTCCATGAATTCTATCCAACCACCTGGTTTAGTAACCCTTACAATTTCGGGGATAACTTTTTCTTTTAATTCAGTGGCGGTAAAAGCGGTTATTAATAATCCCATGCGAACAAAATCAAAAGTATCATCCAAAAATGGAAGATTATCAAGTATATTTGTTTGAAGAAATTTAACATTTGCGGGTTCCATTTCTTGAGAAAATATAGTAGAGTAATCTACACCGGTGAACAAGGATTGTTCATACATTTCAGCCATTTCGATTATCCAAGTACCAGAACCACAACTGTATATATAAGTATATGCGTTATATATATATGCGTTGTATATATATGCGTAAGAAAGTAATTTAAGAAACGGAAACAAAAAAATCATACCCAATATCAAGAACTTTGGCACCACCAGCCTTTAATTTTTCTTCAACAGGAGCCGAATAATTACTTTGCCAGATACGTTTAAAGAACCAATGTTGCTTCTGTAATCTTTCAACTTCGGTAGTAGCATTATTGAGTAGCTTAGAATTTTTTGCATAATGGATTCGTTTACCACTACCGGTAAAGCGCCAAGCTTCATTAATACTTTCATCAATGGTTAAAACTTGCTCGTTGGAATTGGAACGTAAAGAACGAAATTTTTTTCGTTTATCCATTTTGGAATCCACTTTGGATTTTAATTTTTTGTTGTTGTTATTGTTATTGCTAGATACTACGTTCTTTGATAGTCTGTGACCCATTTTGCTTTTCGTTTTTCGGTTGTCTTGTAATGTTCTTAGTAACAGCAACAGTAATAGTAATAGCAGTTGTAATAAAAAATAGTAATAGTAATAGTAATAGCAGTAGTAATAGAAAATAGTAAGGTTGACTTATGTATCAATATACTACTAGCGTATTAGCGATTTGTGTACTAAAAAATTTTTTTGATAACAAACAAAATTAAGAGAAGGTACAACGAACCAAGTTAGAAGGGGTATTTAAAGATATTCGAGGAAAAAAAAAAAAATTCAAAATGGAAGGAGAAACAATAAATAAATATATTTAAATATAATATTTAAATAAATTTATATAAATTTATAAAATATATATATGTATATATATAATATATATGATTTTGAAAACAATCCGGCAAGGTTATCAACGATTTATACGTAAAAATCGGAATATTTTTATTGTTAATGATCATTACCTTTTTAAAATTGTTAATAATTATAAATTGAGAGTTGAGGAAAAAAAAAAAAGGTAAATATTTAAGTATGTACATACATACATAAAAAACCTTGAGGCGCATACATTCAATTAAATCATCAGATTTATATTTTGGATTTATATTTTGGATTTATATTTTGTAATATTGTGTAAACAGTAAAGCCCTTATTTGAAATTGTGTTGGGGGAAGGTATTTATATTTTTGGCGTACTTATTGCTTCTATTGCTTATTGCTTACTCAGTTATTGCGATTGCGTATTGCTTATTGATTTATTTGATTTTATTTATTTTGATTAAAAAAAAGCTGTGTGCAAATAATTACCAAGGGCGCGCTACGAATGTACTCTTATTTATCATTATGTATATTTATATTTATGGTATTTATGGTATTTATATTTATTATATTTATGTATTTATGTATTTATCTGTTATGGTATTTATGGTAGTTATTGTTTATGTCTTTATGAAGATGGTACAACCGTGAAAT